GAGGACTAGCTGTATAAACCCAGGGAGATTTGATGCTTTATGATGTGAAAGGAGAATTTTTTTCTAATTTAATAGTATTTTGGTGTGCTTTCCCTCCCAAAGTATCTAAAACATTGCTATGCTTCTTGTGGGATATATTTCAGTGAATTTAAAACTGAAGATTAATAAAGCAGTGACACTATGCCGGTATTTCATTTTTTTAAAAATACAATCTTCCTAACTTCAAGAATGTAATATACTGTCAATTTGTATTCACATCCCATCCTTCCTCCATAGACTTTGCAATCTCCCCGTGGAGATTCGTACCCTCACCACCGTCCAGGCCTTCCGCACAGCCCTTAAGAACTGGCTAGCCCGTCAGGCCTGGGGACAAGGATAGCCGCCCCTCCCGAATGATGAATGTATGTTGCTTATTACTTTTATTATATGTGTCTACGTCATTGTTTGTATTCCCCCTCCCTGATTTTATGTGAGCCGCCCTGAGTCCCCTCAGGGAAAAGGGCGGCCTACAAATGTTAATAAACATCTAAACAAACATCTAAACATAGGATTTTCAACTCTCTTTAATGAGAATTTACTTATTTAAATAATCTGTGTACATTCATTTATCACGCTGCTCTAATCCCCTTCATAAAGAAAATCAAAAGCTTCCATTTAATTTTTCTTTTAGATCATGATACAGATTCTCTCTCTCCTTTTTTCCTTTAATAATTATAGAAGTTTAAGTGTAATGCATCAGATTTCTAAATACAGATTAGATCCTGATTAGGGGTCAAAGAATTAAAGCCCATTTTAGCCATACTGGGTAGGGCGCTTTCCAGATTAGGATTCCTCACACCTAAATACATACTTTAAATAAGATTCATATCATTGTTGTTAAAATCCTTGCTGGGGATGGTCTATGCTGAGAGTGGCTGAAGGAGTAGAGAGAAAATCCACAACCCTATGTCATATATCCTCTTGGCTTTTAGTCTCTATTTAATCTTTGTTGATTTTAATTTTTTAATATTTTCTGTTTATCATTTTGTAAGCCTTCCAGAATCACTTCAATAGTGAGATAGACATGTTGTTATATTGATGGCAGCCTATAGTCTGTGTGCTCTAACAGAACATTTCCTCTCAATGCAAAAGTATGCCTGTCCTATATAGGGCAATGTTAGTACGGATACTGAAGATATGTATGTCTTTATTATCAAACAAGAGGCTGAAAATTTGGGTCCATCTTATACACTGAATGCAGCATTTTTTTGCCTCCCGAAACCCCGCCCCTTCACCAAAATGGAGAATAGGTTTGACCCAGATGTTATGCTGTAATGTGATGTGACTTTCCTTGAATAAACTTCAGTCTCATGCAGTTTATCATACATTGGTTGATAATTCTGGCAATCAGAACTTTTGAATGGAAAGGGAAGATGAGGAGAAAGTGTATATTTGACTCTCCAACTTGCTAATGTTAAGCACAGCTTAACAATATACCAGAACCAAGCAGTCTTTTTTACAATGTGTGAAAGCAGTTTTTATAGTTTGTTCATGCTACTTGCTTTCATTCCACACTGACCTCTAATAAACAAAACATTTGATGTAGTTGAATGCAATGATAGGACAAAAGAAATATATTCATTGATGCATCTAAAAACTATAACACAATTCTTTCAACTCTTTTAAAATATGTTTGTCATATATGTTTATTTAGTCTAGAAGCAGAAACAATCACTAATACATTGCTATTCCAAATGTAGCTGCCATATGTTAATCATATTAAATTCACAGGTGAATATATATAGTATTGCAACCATAATGTAAATTGATAAAATTGGTATAATTAATAATATTGCATAATGCAATTATTGCCTTTTTCAAATTAATGTAAGCAATACGTATTATTGCCTGCCTAGGGTAAATGAACATATTTTGCAGATTATGTCAACTAATAATGGCATTTTCTTTTTACATATAGGGTGATCCAGGAATTGAAGGTCCAATTGGACACCCTGGACCTAAGGTAAATAATTTTGGGTCTCACTTATAAGCATTTGTTCTTGTACTTAGAACTTGACCAAATAAGAGGTTTCCAGAGAGCAGGAGAGAAGGAGCGGGGCAGGGGAAGAGACAGGGGGAGGGAAGAGGGAGGGAGGGAGGGAGAGAGAGAGAGGGAGGGAGGGAGTGTGTGAGAGAGATCTTGGTAGTAACCAGTAATCATTAAAGCTGCAGAAACCAAATTTATTTTGAGTTTCAAAATAGGACAGATATTTAACTCAAGAAAATGGTTGCTGGGCTGATGAGATATCCATTCCTTTATACTGTTCAATATCTAAAAAATCCTGAATTAGAAACAATTCACCTTAGTGAGAAGAAAAAGATTTATTTTATTTAAATTTATTTATTAAATATATTTATTAAATTTGTATATTAAATGTATTCATTAAATTTGTATATTAAATGTATTCATTAAATTTGTATATTAAATGTATTCATTAAATTTGTATATTANCCCCCCCCCTCTGCTCCAGGGGCCCTTGGGTCCCCTAGCCCAGAGAACGCAGCTTGGCTGAAGAGCACAAAGCCGAGCCCAAAATTAGAACGGGTGAAAGAAAACGGGCAAAAGGCGCCGTCGATTTAGGTCTTGGCAGAGGTGCCCCGGCTGTTCGGGTCAATTGCCTGCTGGGCTTTTCCTTTCGGGATTTGTTCTGAACTTCCTTCCCCTCCCCCTCTGTATTTCACCCTTTGAGAGAAACTTCCACAGCCCCTTTCTCTGAGCAGCTCCGGCCCAATGGGCATCCAAACACCACAGTGCTGGCAGCTGCACTTTCACTGACAGTGGTGGAAAGGCTTTCCCCTAAGCCAACAGGGTCACTTTGCACCGTGAGAAATTGGGGCTGCCGGTGCAGTGGGGTTATGCCCCAAGACTGCAGAGGAGGAAGGAAAAAGGTTTGGTGGCCCTGGACCAGGGGTGGGTTCCTGCCAGTTCTACGCTCACAAATCTACAGTGCCGTTTAGAACCGGTTCCAGTTCCCTCTGCCCGCCCGCACATCATCAAGATGAAGAGCGAGAGGAGGAATTCTGGGAGTTGAAGTCCACAAGTCTTAAAGCTGTCAAGTTTGAACACACCTGGGGTTTTTGTATTTTTTAGACCTGCAGGGACGACCAAGCAGGGTTAGTCGGGACGTCAATTGGGATGACACACTGCACTCCCACAGGAAACCCAAATCAGCCCCCCCTCCCCGCCCATTCTGGCAACAGTGGGTCAAACATTCTTCAGGTTGCCCTGGGACAAGCTTTTGATTTGGGGGAGGTTGCGTGGTGTACTTTTACACGGTCAGTCCACAGCTTCCATAAAACACGGCTCAGGCTCAACTTGGAGCGGTTTCTGTTTTGGGAACGGCCTGCGGCAAAGTGGCAAATGGTTTCATGCAGCCGGTCAGTGACTTTGGGCCCTCTGCTAACACCCCCCCCCCCTTGCTGGACTATAAGGAGCCACCACCCCAGCTGGTGGCAAGACTCACTAGTGCCTTCGTGCAGCACGTTGTAAAGGGAGCCATAGGGCATCCAGTGGGTGATGATGATGGGGTGCGGAGCGGGGGGCGACTGGCAGGCACCCAGCACCGGCAGCACGTTGGGGTGAGAGAAAATCCTGTGGGGAAGAGAGAGATCAGCTTCAACACAGCCAAAGACAGGCCTGGTGCTGCTCAAGGGGCAGGGCAAAGACTCCCCCCCCCCCATTCCTGCCACCACTACCCCTGCCCTGTTCACCTGAGCTTGGGGTATTCCTCGTTGAAGTCCCGGCTCTTCCGGGTTGTCCAGTCGCGGATCTTGAGGACCTTGATGACGATGTCGTTCCCCTGCCAGCGCCCCTTCCAGAGCTGAAGGGAAGGGAGGGGTCAGGGCACTTGGCAAAGCCAGGAATGGGGAGCCCCCTCGCCATCTCTGATGGGAGAGGGTTAGGGTTAGGGGAGCAGGGAGCAGCACCTCTCCTGACTGGTTCTCGTTGAGTTTGTGGCCCAGGCTCAGCTGCCGGAAGTCAATCCCTGCCAGCTTATTAAGGGTCCCATTACCTAGGAATGAAGAAAGGAGGCGCGAGGGGGTCAGGACTCCCACCCATCATTGCTCTGGCCCAGAAGCCCCCTTGCCTCTCTCTAGAAAGCCATCTCTTACGTGGTCGAGTCCGCGTGGTGCCTTTCCAAAACGTGTCTTTGTAGGGGAGGCGGGTCAGGCTTTGGCCCGACTTCTCTGCACGCTCTGGAAGAGCAGAGGGAGCGGTCAGGGAAGACGGAGAGCTTGATCCCCATTGCCTCTTCCGGCCATTCCTTCCACCACCCCTCCCCAAATTTACCCAAGGAAACTGGCAGGGGGAAGCAGACAGATGGATTGAAAGCGCTCTTGGGGTTTTTGGGAACCCAGTTTTTTCCTTGGGACCAGGTGGGATGAACATGGGTGACAGACTCCTAGGGCTGGAAGGGTCTGACCCCCTGCTCAAGGCAGGAGACCTTATACAATCCTGGTCAAACTACCCGCGATGGAGGCCCCACAGCCCTGGAGGGAAGCTGCTCCACTGAGTAATTGTTCTGTGTCAGAAAATGTCTCTCTTTAACAAGCCTCTCTAGGTGTCGCTTCTTGTCCTGCCTTCAGCTGCTTCGGAGAACAAGTCAGTCCCCTCAAGCCCTGGAAGAGAGTCGCCCTGTTCCCCCCCCCCCCCGAATCCTCCTCTTCGACAGGCTGGGCATGCCCAGTTCTCTTAATCGCTTCTTTTCTTTGCCGCCCCTCCCTACTACTAGGTCAGCGTCCCTCCAGACTCCTCGTAGGCAGGTTTTCTAGGCCTCAGAACCTCAGAACTGGGCACGGCGTTCCTTGCTACTACAGTATAAAGCGGTACTAGCACCTGACATTGTCCCAGGATTGCGTTGGCTATTTTGGCAGCTACAGTACATTGCTTGGTCAGTGGTGATCCACCAGGAGATTTAGATCTGTCTCCTTAATAAATTATTTATACTTAGCACAAATTGCTCGTCTAAGAAGATCTCAGTCCTCCAGGTCACAGTTGTCCTAAAGATGCTTTTTCAAGAGGCAACTGGACTTTCTGTTTTTTCTTTAATTTCGCTTCTTCTCATCAAAGAAGTTTCTTCANGAAAGTCCAGATGCCTCTTGGAAAAAAAAAAGCACCTTTAGAATTGCTTACTAATGAAGAGAGATTTCAAAACTAGGTGTAAGCTAGGTGACCTAATTGAGGAAGCCCTGCTCCTTGACTTAAATGGCACACTCAAGATTGCAAAATTAAATGTCTCAGAGAAGTGGAATTTGCCAGAATTGTTCTTTGGTAGAACAGTTTCCAACACCTCAATGTTCAAGGTGTCTGCAGATAGTGCATTGCAATTTCACATCCGAGTTCCATATCTTCATTGAACTAAGGGGAACAGTCTGTTGCATTTATGTCATTAAAATCTGTAGAAGTTGTTTTTAAAAACAAAATTGGCTGTGCTCACTTTAATTTCAAACCAGGGAGAATTTTGATCCTTAGCAGCTGGGAGTCAGATCATTTGTTCAGTCTAGTTGTCTATTAATACATGGTGGGAAAGAGAGAAGGGGGGAGGGAGCTAATTTTGACCATCTGCCTCATTTATTGTCTTTTACCAAATGCTCTTACAATAGCTAACTAAAATAACAACTTCCAATTTTCTAGTTTACAAAAGCCAAACTGTGAGCCTAATTTTTCCTTCCTGTCTTTTTTCATTTTCCTAAGCTTTCATTAAAAAAAATGCTTTTAAGGTGAGATTCAGTTAAGCAGGCTGTTGTAAAACAGGTTTGGTAAGCTTTGGGTTCTGTAAGCACAGAGATGACAGCTTCCCTCCATTTGCAAAATTTGACACAACCTACAACAAAATTGTTTCTGAAATGGGTTGTCTCAGGTGCACCAAAAAAAGCAAAACACTGGCCTGATTCTGGAGTCCTTGGTGCTTTCTGAGCTCGGTTGTTTCGTTGCAGGAGTTTGCAATTGACCGATGGTGATTTTGTCAATGTCACTGGCATTATTATGGTTGTTCGCATAGTCAACCAGATGTTTAGACTGGATGTTTAGATCTATCAAGGCTTTCCCAAAGACCTGGGATAGACAGATTTTGCTGTTTGATAGTTTTCAAGGTGTTGTCGTGGAATGTAAGCTGTTCCAAGTAAAGCTGCCTATTGTAATTGACCGGCGGCAAATTTGTCAATGCGGATGGTGTTCAAACGGTGCTCCAGTTATTATTCATAGAATTTATGTGCTTTAAACCTTTCCTCCTGTTGAGTTCAAGTTCTCGCCAGGTACTTAGCTTTACCTTGAAGGTTTCCAAAGGTTGACTATGATTAACTGGGAGAAAGAACTAGCATCAGGGTTAAAGTGGCAAATCAAAGAGATATCTATTATGCATTTAATTGGTCATCAACAGGTTCTGGATAGTGTTCAGATCACTAAAAAGGGCATTAGACGTTTGTAACAGCCAATTTTGGAAGCTGAGTAGGTGTTAATTCTTACGGTTTTAAGGAACCCACCAGGAACCATTAGAAATGTTTCTGGATTGCTTTGATATTTACACCTGTAATGTGTTAAATGGCCTTATTGACTAAGGGAATCATCCCTTCAAACGGCCAGCTTGGCCTGCTGTGTTGGACCATATCCAGGTTCTCTTTAAAAGAATGACCAAAAAGTGTCCAATTTATCATAGAAAGCACCAGGCCAAAGGGCCTCCCATGTAATTAAGAGCTTGAGTATGCTTTTATCCTAGAAGACCCAGCTTTCGGATGTCTCTGCTGTGTGAACAGGTTTTTTAAATAGATATAGATATCAATATCAATATATAGTTTGAAATGGAGCTTGATTAAAGCTACGATGTCCAAAGAGCTAGGATTAAAGAAAGTTTGTTATTCCTTCTCATCGCTCTGTTGCAAAAGCAGAATGACTGATTTATATTGAAACTGATTGGTTAATATTTCACCAGTAGTGATAAGATTAGCGCATAGAAATGGCCTTGAGAGACTGGCTGAGTTCCTTCCTTCCTTCCTTCCTTCCTTCCTTCCTTCCTTCCTTCCTTCCTTCCTTCCTTCCTTCCCTTCCTTCCTCCCTTCCCTTCCCTTCCCTTCCCTTCCCTTCCCTCTTTCTTTCTGTCTGTTTCTCTCTCTTTCTCTTCCCTTCCCTTTCCTTCCTCCCTCCCCCCATCAACTTTTTTAAACATTCAAATTAAGCAACCTGTAAGTCTCTTTATATTAGCAAGCATGATATATTTGTACAGTTGATACTCTTAGCTTTTTAAACACACACACACACACACATGAACACGAACACACACAAACACACACACACGTTCCTTTTATGGGTGGAGATAATCTGTCTTTTTTTTAAAAAAAATACAATAGTAGCACTAAAAATATAACTTCCACCATGTAGCTGAGCATTGATCCTATTTAGATGATAGATAGATAGATAGATAGATAGATAGATAGATAGATAGATAGATAGATAGATAGATAGATAGATAGATAGATAGATAGATAGANGAGGAGGAGGAGGAGGAGGAGGAGGAAGAGGAGGAGGAGAGTTGTTCTCCTGATTCTCTAAGTAGTTTTTCTACAGAATGCTGCTGCTATTTCTAGAAAGGAAGAACAAAAGACATGATTTAATAATACATTATCTGGAACTGGGGATTCAACCTTGAAGGAGGACAGCTTGGCAGAACTCTCCCAAGTTGTTTAAAAGAGTACAATCAGGAGCAGATGTGCAAAATTGTAAACAGTTCACTCATCATGAAGCTTTCTGATCAGGTGGACCCGTCCTTATAACCCTAAGCTTATACACTGATGTTCCTTTTGGAAGAGTCCCAGGGTCATATAGAGAGACAACCCAACTGTTCCTGGATGACCGTTTGCAAATATCTGAAGGGTCTTCCCTTAAAAGATGTGATAAGCTGTTCATCTGTTGCTCTTCCGAGGTAGTGAATGAATCTTCACAGAAAGGAGATATTTTAACATTTTAATTATCATATTTTTCAGAGTATAAGATACACTTTTCCCCAAAAAGGAGGGTGAAAATCTCAGTGTGTCTTATATAGCAAGTGTAGCCCCACCCACCCACCAGCCCTACCCTTTGGCCTCTGCCTCCTAGCAATTTGCCTCCTTGAAGCAAATAGAAAACAGCCTGTTTCAGTTTCAGCTTCAGCACAGCCTGATTAGCATAAGCAACTGATTGTCAGTTGGCTCAACTTCTCGACCATCAGCTGTTTCAGGCTGCAGGAATTGCCATAGCCTATTGCCACCTCCTGCGTGCCCCATTTTCGGCCTCCACATCCCATTTTTGGCCTATTCCGATCCCCATCACCCAGAATGGGCGGAAAATGGGGCGCACAGAGGCCTAAAATGGTGTGTGAAGAGGCTGAAAATGGAATACGGAGACTGAATATGTAGTGTGTGGAGGTGGCAATAGGCTATGGCAATCCCTGCAGCCTGAAGCAGCTGATCTTCGGGAGGCCCAACAATCAGCTGCTTGTGCTAATCAGGCTGTGCTGAAAGTAAAACGAGCTGTTTGCTGCAAGGAGGCAAATTGCTGGGAGGTAGAGGCAGATTTTTTTTTCTTGTTTTCCTCCCCAAAAGCTAGGTGCATCTTATACTTCAAAAAATATAGTAAATATTAGGAAGACTTTCGTGGGGGTGGGGGACACATAATGGGCGACAGAGGCCATTCAATAATTCTCTTCTAGGCCATTCTTTTCTTGGCCTTCTTAAACCATTTAGGCTGCCTTCTCCTTCCCCCGTGCCTGCATGTTCTAACTCTAATGGATTTTTTGTACCGTCGGAAAGGCCCTGATTGATTTCAAGTGAAGCAAAAATAATTCCACCTCCATTTCAGGTGGAACAGAAAGAAAGAAAGCATGCTTTAAAACTAGAGAGAAGGGAAGGGAAAGGAAAGGAGGAATAATTCCCCAATTCTCCCTTTATTTAAAGTTGCTTTTTTAGGATCCTTGACAAGGAAGAAGGCTGATGAATAAAAAGAAATGTAACCTTAGTTTTTCCATTCACTCTCAATTTCCAGAAAAAGTTCGTTTTGGGGAATGGCGTGTATGTGTGTAGAAAATGGCAAATACAAGGAATAATTCGTATCGCTTTTGATACAAGGAAGCATTTTCTTCCCTTTTCCCTACAGGAAAGAATTCTAAATGAATCTAAATTAATTAAAGGCAGCTTTTGATTTAAAAAAAAAATACAAATCACCACCACCTAACTGTTGAATAACGAGCTGATCAGACTTGTTTCTTTACCAAGGATGGCTTATAAAATGTGGGCTGGCCATTTTGAAGCCAGTTTTGTTCATTTATTTTTGATATCGACAGCATAAAAACGAACCCAAATTTTAAAACAAAAGGAAAGGCAGAAAAGACAGGAAAAAGAAAGAAGGAAGAAAAAGAAACACAGTAGAGCAGCCTCTGATTTCTCTTGCAGCAAACATAAGTACAACAGTGAAATTCTTCTTTACACAAGGATGGCAAAAGAAAGCTCAATTTTTTCCTGCTGTCCAGGTTTTTTTTCTAATCTCAAAAGCACAAATCTTAAGTGCCTTATCTCCCTATAAGGGAGACCCTCCCTATAAGTCTCTAAAGGTAAAGCTTCCCTTCGCACATATATGCTAGTCGTTCCTAACTC